CATGTGACCCATGTCTTAGTCAGTTTGGACTGTTATAACAAAATACCATAGACTAGGTGGCTTATAAACAACAGAAATTTATTTCTCACAGTTCTGAAGACCAGAAAGCCCAAGATTGAGGCACTGACAAATTCAGTGTCTGGTGAGAGCCCACTTCCTGATTCATAGATGGCTATCTTCTTGCTGTGTCTTCACGTGGTGGAAGGGGCCAAAGAGCTCTCTGGGGTATCTTATAAGGGCACTAATCTCATTCATGAGAGTTCCATCCCCCTGACCTAATCACCTCCAAAAGGTCCTACCTCCAAATACTGTCACACTGGGGATTAGATGTCAACATATAAATTTAAGGGGAACATCAACACTCAGTCTATAGCACCCAGCAATTACACTCCAAGCTAAATAAAAATATTTGTCCACATAAAATCTTGTACACCGAAGTATACAGCACTATCCATAGCAACATTATTCACAACAGCCAAAAAGTGGAAACAATCCAAATGTCCGTCCACTAATGAATGAAGAAACAAAATGTGGTATGTCCATAAAATGGAAATTCTTAAGCCGTAAAAAGGAATGAAGTACTGATACATGCTACAACATAGATGAATCTCAAAAATATGGTGTGTCAAAGAAGCTGGACACAAGGCTACCTACCTACTGATCATTTAACTTACATAAAATCTCCAGAACAGGCAAACTGATAGGTACAAAAAGCAGATTAGTGGTTGCCAAAAGTTGGGGGAAGGGGGAAATGTGGAGTGACTGCTTAATGGGTACAGGGCTTCCTTTTGAGATGAAGAAGTGTTCTGGAACTAGAGAGTGGTGATGGCTTCATCACATTGTGAATGTACTAAATACCACTGAATTGTCCACTTTAAAATGGTTGGAATGGTGAATGTTATGTTACCACAGTAAATTAAAAAGGCTTGCTGATGGATAGAATGTGGAATGAGAAGGTAAGAAGGAAATCAAGACTCTCCTGGGTTTTTTTAGGGAGTTATGGACTGGAGGAGCCTTAAGTACTCACTGTGTTACAGTCTCCACCACATCCATTCTCTTCTTTGTCTAGGCATGCTCATTCCCGCCCCAGGGGCTTTGCACCTGGTCTTCCATGTGCCTGGAATGATCTAGATCTATATTTATTGACATAGAGAGATGTTCTTTTTTTTTTTTTTGTGGTACGCGGGCCTCTCACTGTTGTGGCCTCTCCCGTTGCGGAGCACAGGCTCCGGACGCGCAGGCTCAGCGGCCATGGCTCACGGGCCCAGCCGCTCCGCGGCATGTGGGATCCTCCCAGACCGGGGCACGAACCTGTGTCCCCTGCATCGGCAGGCGGACTCTCAACCACTGCACCACCAGGGAAGCTCTAGATGTTCATTTTCAAGTGAAAAAGCAGGTCACTTTTTTTTTTTTTTACAAATGTTCATGTAAACAGATGAACACATTACATAGAATAATTTTATCAGCAAGGTGTTTTCAACTGCAGGTAAGAGAAAACTCTAGGTCAATGACTTCACAATAGGGTCATGCCGTTGTGCCAGTAATCAGTGTATTGCTTTTCAACTCCAAATTCTTTCTTCCATAGTGAATGGAAGTATTCAGGGGTCTTTGGCCATAAGCCACAGAAGCTGACTTTGGCTACCTAAGAAGAAAAACGGGCATTCCCGGAGTCCAAGGGAGGCTCCTCCATAATAATCAAGACTGCATTAAGATTGTCTTTTATACTGAGCACGATGCTGAGTTTTCTCAGTAGAGGGCGCTAAAGAGACACTGCAGGAGAAACAGGCCTTTCTCGCTGGTTCCCGCAGCTGCACCAGTGGTCAGCAGCACAGGTATGAGGCAAAGCCTGGGTAGCTGTGAGTCAGATGGTGGAATTCTCAGACCCTGAGGAGGGCTTTGGGATCTTTCCAAGCTGATCTTAGGTGATGGCGCCCCAAGTGGTGAGCGGTCTAACTTCAGCGGAGAGAGCCAAGCTCGGTTCAGAAACCTGAGCAAATCCAGGCCCCACAGATGCCCATCTTCCTGTTGCTATTAAAGCAAGCTTCATCAAGTCCTTCTTTTTGGAAGAAAAGCTCCAGGTTTTCAAGGAGGGACCATCACAGGTCACCTATCCATGCCTAGTGCTTGGCAGAAGGAAAAACGTGGGTTTTGAGAAATGGCTCCCCATAGTGGGACCTGGGCATCCTACTTTTCTAAAGTACCACAATTATCCTAGGGGCACAGTCAAGGATAGAACCACTGGATCAATCTCTTGAGCCCTGAGGTCAGAATTCTGACTGCTGTTCACTTCGTATATTACCTTTTCTTTTTTTTTCTTTTGCCAATAGACAACTGTTTCTCATATTCTGGGCACCTGCACTGGAGATAGTGAGGTGCTGAGGTTCTCCCACAGAAGGAGCAGGCTGTGTGACCCAGGCCAGACCAATCAGATGCTCCCTCTCTGGAGCAGGGCCTTAAATAGGTGGAGCTCCTGTCACCTGAGTGGTGGTGCTCTAAAGTCTTTGTCAGACGACTATTCCCAAGAGTCTCTTTCTGGCCTTCCAGAGCTGCCTTGGTTTTCATCCCATTTCTGAGTCTTCCAGCCTCCCTTGGACTCTGGGAATGCCCATTATCCTTCCAGTCTATTCCCTTTTGCTAAGTTAGCCAAAGTCAGAACCTGTGGCTTATGGTCAAAGGCCCCTGACACTGACAAATGGAAAAGAGGGGACTCTGGATCCACGGCTGCAGGGAGAGGGCACACTCTGAGCTGTCCTCAGTCCTTCTGAAAGGAAAACTGAATAGTGGGGGCCCCTCTGGGGCAGGATGCAAACCCTAAAGTGGACTTCAAGGCCTTACAGGACTTTGGCCCACCATTGTGCTCCTTGTTTGTGCCACTCCAGCCCCACTGGCTTCTCAGCTTGTCATCACACTCAGTGGGTGCACTCCCACCTCAGGGTCTTTGCACTTGCTGTTCCCTTTGCCTGGAATGCTCTTCCTCCAGAAATCCCCCCAGCCTACTCCTTTGCCTTTGCTCAAATGACATCTCTTCAGTGGGGCCTCTCTCAGCTACCCCACTTCAAAATACAAAGCCCACCCGTCTGGGCCCTCCCTCTCTGCTTTGCCTACTTTATTTTTCTCCAGAAGCTTCCATCCTACTATATCATCTGCTTATTTATTTTGTTGTCTATTCCCTAAGCCCCACAAAGTGAGGCATTTTGTCTGTCTTGCTCACTTCAGTATCCCCAGCACAGTAACCTGGCACATAGTAGGTGCTCAATAAATATAGACCTGCGATGCATCCTGGGTGGATGCAGTCAGGAACTTTGTGGAACAAACCTTGGTCCCAAAGAGCCCATTGCCTGCCCAGCCCTGGAGATCCTGGCTGACAGGTGCCCCTATTGGGGTCCTGCCAGGACCCCACTCTCCCAATGACCTGCATGTGGGGGAGGGAGCCCCTCAATGCCTGGCATCTCCTGGATGGAGAACCAGTGTGCCTTGGAAGATTCTTTTTGCGATACGCGGGCCTCTCACCGTTGTGGCCTCTCCCACTGCGGAGCACAGGCTCCGGACGCACAGGCTCAGCGGCCATGGCTCACGGGCCCAGCCGCTCTGTGGCATGTGGGATCATCCCGGACCAGGGCACGAACCCGCCTCCCCTGCATCGGCAGGCAGACTCTCAACCACTGCGCCACCAGGGAAGTCCCGGAAGATTCTTAATAATACTGCATACCTCAAAGATATGGTGGCTTCAGTTCCAGATCATCACAAAAAAAGCGTGAATAGCAAAATAAAGCAAGTCACACAAATGTTTCAGTTTCCCAGTGCTTATAAAAGTTATGTTTACACTATACTGCAGTCCATTAAGTGTGCAATAGCATTATGTCTAAAAAAATGGACATATCTTAATTTCAAAATACTTTATTGCTAAAAAATGCTGTCATCCAAGCCTTCATTGAGGAGTCAATCTTTTTGCAGGTGGAGGGTTTGAAATATTGTGAGAATTACCAAAATGTGACAGAGACACAAAGCAAACGAATGCTATTGGGAAAATAGCACCAATACACTTGCTAAATTCAGGGTTGCCACAAACTTTCCATTTGTAAAAAACAAAACCCACAATATCTGCAAAGTGCAATAAAGGATATAAGACACAAGCAATACTTTAGTTGAAAATAGACTGAAATCTATAAGTTGACTGGGAAAATGTGAACACTGACTCGATATTTGTTGTTATTAAGAATTTAGTGTTAATTTTTAGGTCTGATAATGAGATTGGGGTTTTGTTGTAAACAAAAAGAGTTCTTATATTTCAGAGATACACTGAAATATTTATAGATGAAATGATAATGGTGTCGGGGGTAGGACACAAATGAGGTATAAAAAAGAAAAGATTGGCTGTATATTAATAATGGGTAAATCCTGTTTATTATGCTATTCTCTCTACTTTTATATATGTTTGAAAATGTCCATGGTAAAGTTTTTAAAATGAAAAAAAAAGCAAAGCAGAATAAAACGAGGTATGCCTGTAATAATAATAACAACAACAGTAATAGTAGCAGCACAGCTATCTTTTATGGTTGCTGGCCTTTTTTTCCTAGGTGTGTGCTAAGCGCTTTACATTCAGTACTTCATTTAAGTCTCATATTATTCCCATGAGGTGATCATATTATACCCACTTTAAAGATGAGAAAACCGAAGCTAGTAGGGTGTCGATAGTAGCCCCACCGTCTCCCGCCACTTCCAAGCCTCGCACACAGCAGACATTGAATAAATGATGCCGTCCTTCCCGGCCGCATAGAAGGCGGGTGGGCATGGAGGTGGGGGGGCGGTCCCTCAGGAGGGAGGTCCAGGCGCGGGATGCGCGGGATACGCGGGACGCGCCGGATGCGCGGGGGTGAGCGTGTGTGTCGGGCCGCGCGGAGCCTCAGCTAGGGCCTGGGCGGCCCAGCGTGGCTCTTTGGAGGGTGGGGCAGCCGCGGCCCGGCCTGACGTCTGGCGCCTTGACCGTCACTCGGCGCTCGCCCCGCCCCGCCGCGGCCGCAGCAGCCGGGAGAAGCCCCTAGGAGCCACCGCCGCCGGCCGCACTCGGATCGCAGCGGGCGCAGCCATGGCTTCAGGGCTGGCGGGTAAGGGGACGCGGGGCGCGGGGGCGGCGGGAGGGCAGCCCCGAGCCGCGGGCCCCAGCCCTCGGCTGAGCGGCAGTTCCCCCGTGTCACCCCACAGAGGCGGAGACCCGGCAGAGGTTGCTGCGCACCGTCAAGAAGGAGGTAAGTGCCGAGCGGGGGCCGGGGGCGCGACCCACAGGGCAGGGAGCCACCGCAGCCAGCCCGGAAAGCGTCTGCAAAGGAGCGGTGGCCTCCTGGGATGTGGAGCTACCCTGCGTGGGTGCTGACCCCACGGGGCTAGAAGCGGGTGAGCTTGGGGGTGAGATTATTGGTGGGGGGCCCTGGGTGTTTTTGTGCTGTGTGCAGGGGCGACTGCTGTGTGAGGGCCCTCCAGGTGGAGGCACACCTGGATGTGTCTGAGTAGGACCCCCTCTTGTGGAAGAGCAGGTTGGTGGGTCTCGCCAAGGTGAGAAAAGCACTTGGCGGGGCTGACAGGGCATGTTGCTGGGGGCGGGCTGGATGGGACTGCAGCAGGAGCACCAGACTTTGGGAAAGGGGAGGAAGTCACTACGGGGAAATAAAGCTCCCCACCTACCCCTCCCCGAAATTCTCAGTCCTTGGAGCCACCCCCAGGAGCCAGGGGACTCCCTCCCTGAGAGTCCCAGGTCAGTGGGTTACTCCATTTGAGGCATGTGCGCATGCTCCCCTGGCAGGCAGGCCCCCCCTGACCCCCACCCCACCCCACCCTCGAACGAGGGTGAGAATTAGTCAGGGTTCAGCTGCCCCTCTGCCCCTTCACTCTCCCTGGGGTTAGACGGAAGCCCAGTCTAGCCTTAGAGTTAATAGTTCATGACTTCTCGGAGAGTGGGAGAATCTATAGTGATGGGTGCCTGGGGAAGCATTTAGATACCTGGACTGCGTGTGTTTTTTTGTGTGTGTACGTGCATGCACATGTCTGTGTGGGTGAGGACATGTAGCTGTGAGTATGTGTATCTGAGAACATGTGTGCATCTGCCTGGAGATATCTAAGTGTATCTCTATGTGTACATGCATCCGTGTGTCTGTGTGTTTATCTGTTTTTGTGATTATGATGTGTATCTGTGTGATGTGGGAATCTCTGTGAATGAGTGAGGTTGTGACTGTGTGTGTGCATGTGACATGGGATGCATGAGTCTGTGTGTGAATGAGTGAGCTGTGACCATGTGTGTATGAGTGAGGCTGTGTCCGTGTGTGTGCATCGCCCTCCTCATGTCACCCGCATCCCTCCACGTGGGACCCCATTGCTGCTGAGCCTGCCTCACATCTGCATCCTAAGTGCTCAGCCCTAGACCAGGAATGGCCGCAGACCTCGGGGGCTGACCTGATCCTGTGCCTCTGTGTATGTTGAGGGTGTCAGTATCTGGTAACAGTGCTGTCCACCAAGAAGCCCCTCCCCGCACGGTGGCAGATACCACCAAGGGCAGCCTGGAGGCTGGAACCTGTTGCTGCCCCTCCCCGCTTGGGGAGCGTGGGCATGTGTCTGTGCATATGTCTCAGTGTGTGGCATGTCCCATTGTTGCTAAAAGAATCAGCTCCAGGCTGACTGCCCATTCTAGCGTTTCTGAATAAGGAGACATACAGGCTACATGGAATCCCTCAGAAAGGCCCAGAACTTTTCAGCTCAGGCCTCTTAGAGACCCCTGTGGGGACCTGAAGAAAGCTCTGTCTAGACCCTCTTTCCATCAAAACCTACATATTCTGATTGTTTCGGGGGGAAGTATGTATAGACCTCCCGCCCAAAACCCTTCAGGTTAAAAACATACAATTTTTTTGTTCATTGTTTAATTAAACCTAGGTGTAATATGTGCTCCCCAAATGTTTTCACCTGGAGTGGCTGTGTTTTTAAGGAAATGCTTGACTGGTTCAACAAGAGGTTGGGGGAGGGGACCTACAGGCAGAAGAGCTTGTGAACATCTTGGAGGGAGTGCTTCCCTGGTTCTGGGCAGGCCTCCAGCTGGGGCCCTGAACCCAGCTCTGCTACCAGCTCCCTCGATGCCCTGGACGAGTTCCTTCCCCTCTCAGGGACACAGTTTCCATATCTGGAGGAGGGAGCATTGGTTCAGTGTCCCTGGAGGTCCCATCCATGTCAGTCTAGTTTGGGTTATTGGCCAGGCTGTGGGGGACTTTTCCCCTGGTGGCCAGCGGTCTGAGGCTGCATTCTCTCTCCTGGGAGCAGCTGAGTTTGGGGCTTGGGATGAGCTTTCTGCCTGGCTCGAGGCCGAGGCCATCTCCTGGTCAGAGGGACCTCTTGGCATCCTGCTTGATGCCTGGGTGGGGGGCAGGGGGGGCGGGGGTGCAGAGGCAGAACCTTGCAAGTTTCGGCAAAGGACCTCGAGTGCCCATTGACCCCGATCTGCAATCAGAAGGCAAGACTTATAGTTGCAAGTTGATAGCTGTTTCTAAATTTTGCATTTCGTGGGGCACATCGTTTTAGTAATTAGTGCTTCCACTTACTGGGGGCTACTCTGTGCCGTATCCTGTGTGCACAGTAATTTTATGAAGTAAATGAGGTTGTTCCCATTTTCAGACAAGGAAACTGAGGCTCAGAGAGGAGGAGTGAATTCCTCAAAAGCACACAGCCCAGAAGGGACTTATCCCCCTGGCCTGTCTGGTGTTAGAGCCAGGCTGTCTTACCCCCTAAATCACAAACATGCCCATCCACATCTACACAGTGCCACAATCTCAGCATGTGTGGGTGGTATAATTTCCATTGTACACAGATAAGAAAACTGGCCCAGAGAGAGTAAGCGAAGTGTTTCAAGGGCACAGAACCAGTGAAGGGGAACAGTCTTCTGTCTGTGAGCCCCCTGTTCAGCATGGGTGCCCCCAAGGGCGTGGTGACAAATCCATGCCCCCCAAAGCAGATCTCCTCTCTCCTTTCCTTCCTCTGCCTACCTCTTTGGAGAGCATCTCCAATGGAATGGTGAAGGGGAGCTCTTTGCTTAGAAAACTGGGAATTGATTGAGGTCTTCCTTCTCTCCACCCTCTGGGTTCAGAACCACATCCCTGCCTGTCACAGCCTCGCCCAGAGGCCCCTCCCATCCTTCTTTCTGGAAGGGGCGGCTTAACAGTCAGTTTCTGTAGATAAGCCAAGCAGGTCTGCAAACTTTGTCTGAGCCACTGAAGCTACAAAGGCTAGTAGAGCCTGTGGGGCTGGAAGTTCCGTCTAGTGCTGACTCAGCTGGGCTCTGTGGATCCCACAGTGAACAAGATCGGCCCTGCCCTCTGGGGGCTTACATTCCAGTACGGTGGACAGACCCTGACAGACATCCGAATGTAATTAAAAGGATGATTGCAGGCTGTGCACTGAGGTCTGAAGTAGAAGCACTTGGCATCACAAGAACATATAACTGCATGCAGGTGGCTCAGGAGGGCTTCTCGGAGGAAGTGATGTTTAAGAAGATGTGTGAAGGATAAGTAGGCTTTTTAGGTGAAGGTATGAGGTAGCAAGAGACAGAGGAAAACCATTCCTGGCAGAGGGAACTGCACATGCAAAGACTTTGTGGCTGGAGGGAGCACTACAGACAAGGAATGGAAGGACTAGGAAGTGGCTGGAGTGCAGAGAGAAAGGACAATGGTGCCACATGCAGAGGGGGCAGAACATGTGGTCCTCTCCTAAAAGCAAGAGGAAAGGAGTGGGGAGGACATGAGGAATATGGAAAGAAGAGGGTGGAGCCGAAACTCATTGCTTATCAATTGTACAACTTGGACAAGCATCTGTCTTTACCTTCACACGTATCTGGGTTTCAGTTTATTCATAATGGGGGTGAAAATTACTCACCTATCAGGGTAAACCATGTGAAAACACCCACCACGTTAGTCTGAGCTTCTCCAGGACAGGAATCTTTTTATTTTCTGTCTCCCCAGCACCACCCAGGGAAAGCTGGGGACAGCGTGGCCTCAGCATAATTTCCTCCAGTTAAATCCAACCAACTCTATCCTGGCTCCTTCCTGGCTCGATTAGCCCTCCCCTCCTTTTCCCTCCCCGCCTCCACCCCTTAATTTTGTTTTGGTTCCCAGAGCCTCAAGGACTGGCTTCCCGTTGCCATGACGACTGCCACTAAAGGAGCTAGCCACCTGACACGAGTTGATAAGGGAAGCAGAGTGTCTAACTGCCTTGTTTTCCTGCCTCAGGGCTGGGCCTGGGAGGCCTCTTAATTGGAGGGGAGAAGGCAGGGGCTTGTGGGCCGGAGGAGAGACCCTGGGAAAGAGGCAGGGGGATGAGGTGGGTGCTAGAGAGGAAGCTACGCTCTGCACACTGGAGCTGGTGTGAGGGCTGTCCTGGGGAGCCATCCTCACAGTGGCTGAGCTGGGCTTGTCTGGGGACTCAGCCTCCCAGCTCCTGAGTGGGGGATCATGAGAGGGGAGGTAGGTGGGACGTGTTGAGAAGGTTGGAGGAAATCAAGAGGGAAACAGCTGATGTTAGTACTAGGACCCTGTGGTGGTGTCAGTCTAACCCGGTGGCTCTTAGTGAAGGAGGGGGCACAATTTTGCCCCCCAGGTAGGATTGCCAGATAACATACAGGTCACACAGTTAAATCCAAATTTCAGATAAACAACAAACAATGTTTTAGAATGAGTATGTATTGCTAAATCTGGCAACCCTACCCCAGGGGACATTTGGCAACATCTGGAGACATTTTTGGTTGTCATAGCTGGGGGTGCTACTGGCATCTAGTGGGAAGAGACAGGGATGCTACTCAACATCCTACAAAGCACAGGACAGCCCCTATCACAAGGGAGTATCCAGCTCAGAACAGCACTGCTTTACTGATTGGTCCCCACATGCCACCTTCTTTACTCAGAAAGACAGCCCTAAGAGGGAGAATAACCATCTCCTTCACTTTATAGAAGAGGACCTGGAGGCACAGAGACGGTAAGCAGCTCGCTTTAAGGTTGCACAGCCAGCCTGTGGAGAAGCCAGGATTCAAGTCCCACATTCTCAGGCTCTGAAGGGTGGCCTCATGGCCCCTGATTCACAGAGGGCAGAGGTAGGGAGCTACAAGCTACAGCAGAGTCCCCGGAAGCAGGCTTGGGGGTCAGATGTGTGTAGGGGAAGGAGATGAGTCAGGAAAGGTCCATTAGCCCCAGCTTGTGCAGGGCTGTGGATGCCAGGCGGCAGC